ACAAAAACACCTTAGATGATACATTCAGAATGGCAACTGAACACCACCAATGGGTTAGCAGGAGCCATCAGGTTGACACATTTCTGTTCAAACTTCAGGAGTGATGTTTCTCCTGCCTGAACTTCTTGTAGGCCTTCTCAGACCTGGCTCAGGAAGTTGTGACTGTACCAGTATTTTATAATTTAGGCCTATAAGTACCCACTTTCATAAAACTATACAAGTAAGATATCACCTCTTCTTTGTGTAAATCAGGTCCTTCTTGCTGTTGTATAGCCAAACAGAATACAGAAATAAATGGAGATTATAACTGCAATTGTCATCTATTACCCCAATTACAATTTTTTATAGTCACCAAAACCCTTCATCATTCTCCTTAACTTTATAAGTAACTGGTATACTTTTGTAGTTTATAACAATGAGATAGTACTTTTAATCTCATATTTGTACCATATTGAGAGGCCAGCTAAGGTTTTGATTAAAAGGTAAAGAGGTTCTTCTACCAATGGAGGGAGACTAAAGGCCGAACAAATTACCAGTCCCTTGTGACTTGGCTGTGTCCTTTTAGAATGGGAGTGTGAGCTCAAGGACACTAGGGCAGGCGGTGAGCACAGAGGCACATAATGCAGCCATCGCCCAGCCTTGTGCTCCACACTTAGCGCATCTTACATGTAACCTCTGTTGAATTAGTGCAATCATCTGTCATGATGGAAATCATCAAGTGCAGGTCGGTGTTTGTTTATATAAAATGTATGCCTTCCACTAGCTCTCTGGGTCAGTCCATATAAACAATTTGAGATACATAGTCAATATACTCTGAACGTAATATACTGAGTCATTTTTAAACCCAGTCGTAAGCAAGTTCTTGGGATGAGGAGACCGACTGGCTTCAGAACAGTGCTTAGGACCTAAGGCAGTTTCCTCCAATTCTTAAAAGATTTCTTTCAATAGGCTTGGGGTTTGGAACAGGAGATTGTACCATGGGCTACAGGATCAAGGAAGGCTTTTAAATGTAATAGCCAAAGCAGTATGCCCAAGGCCTGCCTCAGTTGTATCCTCTCCTCAACTATTCCTCCTGCAAGTGAAAAGCCTGTGCAAACAGATGGGAAGCCATCAGAGCTTAGCTCAAATCCACACTTGTATCAGCTCATGCAGTCAGAGCTGCACAAAGTTGGAGAAGCCATTCTCTGAATGGGCATTCACTAACTCTCCTGACTGGCAGCTCTGAATCTAGGTGTGATCTCACAGCAGACTTTCCCCAGCTCACACTGATAGGACCCCTTGGCTATGATAGTATTTTCCATCAACAGTGAGGAACTGCCTCATCCCACACAGCTTAGGCGGTGAGCGATTTAGAAGGTGCCCAGTGGGGCATGAAATCTAAAGAGGAAATGCCAAAACTCTGGGAAGAATTTAGGTAGGTAGGGTGTGATTACTGAAGTTGAAATCTGTCCAGACCATTGAGTTAACCGCTAATGCTATAGAAATGAATGTTTCGGGCTCATTAAATTACTTCATTCTACCTGAACCTATTAATATTCTCTAAGTCATTTTTAAAAAATCCTATGTACCAGTAAACATGAATAATGAAACTGGGTAAACCTTGAGCAGATGGCTGCCTTAATGGAGCAGTATTCAAACCACAACCCCTACTCTAGAATCTGAGATGGCTGTTTTTGGTCACTGTGATTGCCATAAGCACATGTCATCAAATTCCCATGGGTAATGGGGCTTTGGGGCAATGTAACAGAAAATTGCCCTGCATATATTCACTAGCAATTAATTCTGAAATATGCATGATGAAACTGAGACAGCCAATGATTTAGAAAAAAAAAAAGGTATTTTAACGATGTCCTTGGTAGCCTTTGCATAGAGAAAGCGATAAGGCAACTGATAGAGGTGGCACAGGAAGAGATTCCTTTGTTGATGCTGACTCTTCTCTGGCCCTTGAAAGTCAGTAGCACTAGTTGCCCTGCCCTATACTCAGACGTCTTCCTCAGGCTCAAGTTGAGAATAGAGTTCATCTCATCCCACTCTGGAATGAAAAAGTAATGGGCAATAAGTTTAAGTGTGTGGTAGACCTAGTGTGCGTATGAGTATGTACAAGCTCCGAGTGACCATGTCTTGGGCATTTTCAGATTCTGTCCTGTGCTGAGAAAATGACAAAGCCTTGAGGGCAAAAGAAAGACATCCCACCTCATCAGATGGTTTCACTGCATGACACTGCTACTACCCTGAACCAGCTCACAAAGGGGAGACACCCAATAACACACTGATTTGGAAGAAATTTGGAGCGGGCTTAAGCATAGCTAAAAGCTGCTCCCAGAATTCAAGTCTGTTGCTTGGCTCAGATCGGTTACCAGGACAGACTGTCCAACACAGGCTACACCATATCACCAAGCCAGGGTTCAGGGCTAGGCAAAAGGACGACGTAGGCAAATCATATGGTAGGAAGCAGCTGCAGGCCAGTGAGATTTTCCAAGTGCTAGTTTGGAAAGAAATCAATGCCAGTTCCTATATTATTTCAAAGTCTTCAACTTCGAGTGTTTTAGTAAGAAGTACCCACAAGACCAACATCCTATGATGAGGCAGGTTAAAGAAGGAAACAAGAAATGGCAAATCGGTTTTAACATTTTATTGGGTAAATGATTTTAAAGGTAATAACAATAGTGTCAAAACTACTACAATATCTTTCCACAGCCATACCTTACAGACCCACATAAATCTTCTCATTTTTCTTTTTGCATTTTTAATATTTATTTTAAAGCCATACGTGTCATATAAAATGCCCATTTCCAAGAGTTTCCTCAAACTATTAAGCAATTAAATGTGGAAGGAAGGAGGATCTAGTTCTACCTGAAGGGATTTCAGGTAATCTGTGATGTCTTACTGTAATCAAAAAACAGGTTCCTAAGAAAGAAGGAAAAGAAAAGCTACTCCAGGTAGCTTTTGCTCATTACAAGTCTCACCATGGCATCACCAAAAATTCATTATGCTGGTGACCGATTTAAAGTGATTTCGGGGAACATATAAAACACTAAAATAACTTAGAAACTAGATCCAAATATTTCAAAAGTAATCAACTTTGATGTACAAAAACAGTCAGAGGTGGTTACAAAAGTGTTTTCTCAGTGCGTCTATGTACCAGCGCAGTTACTGGGTCCAGAGCAAAATAAAAGGTTTATTTTCTTCTGAAACAGTAATAAAAAACAAGGAAAACATATCTTTGTATATAAAGGATCAATGCTGGTCTTAAGAATAATGTAATCAGAAATCCTTAAATCGAGAGGCACGCAACGGGTTTCTGCTTTTAAAAAATAAAAGGAAAGTCACCAGTTTATTTAAATGGAGGAGTTGCTCACACCCCTCAAATAAACTTAATTCAATTTAACATCACTAGCAAAAATCACTTAGAAACTGTACAAAAATAAAAAAGTTAACATATTTAATCCTGCAGGGTTTTTGTAAGGACTGGAAAGCAGGCTTTTGGAGCAGCATTTGGACATGGCTGGGGGCTTCTTTGGTTTTGATCTAACACACGTAAGAGATGGAACCTATTCCAGATGACAGTTTCAAATTTCCTGCACATTTGAAGACATGAAAAGAGGCCAGTATACAAACATCCGGTGTGCTGGGCATTGGGACTGTATGCACTGGACTGAAAATCTTATAATGGCTTCAAGTGGAGTGGGGGAAAAAGAGCAAATCTAGCACTTCCTGCATCAATGACACCGACCTCTCACGGTAGGGGAGACTGGAAAGGGTAGTAGCACATTCTCGTGCAGTCAGAAGGCCACTTGATGAAGGGGGTCGGGGGCGAATGTCTTTTTAGAATCTGGTACCTGGCTGACTTTAAGAACAAGAAAATTCTTCCAGAAATGGAAGCCTTTTGCTACATACCAAAGTAAAATACGTACTATTTTCCAAGAGGAAAATTACCCAGTTGCATTTGAAAAAGGAAAACACAAATGGAACTAATTAACATTTAAACGGGGGGCTATGTAAACTTTGTGCTACTCAAATGAAGTTCAAGTATTACTTCTGAGCTATTTAAAGATCATCGAACTTATACAATATTCTGGTGATGAGTGCAATTCACATTTGTGTTTCTGAACAAATAAACCACAACTGGCTAGAACACAACCTGTGCAATTAAAATCTTTGTCGGAGTTAAAAACACATGCTACATATTTCAACATGTTTAAAGTTAATTCAAACCACATATTTAACAAATTTGTAATACATGACAAAGGTGAAAGGGTCTAGCATTTGTTTGTTTGAAGCACACCATTACAGTTTGTATAACACCCTTTACACTACAAAGTCTTTTAGTCAACAGCTACTTAGAGACAAAAATGGACTGTGCATTAATCTGAATATAAAAGGAGACAAAACTATCCTTTTCCCCCAAGCCATGGTGGGAAATATTGCTGACCTCGTCCTCTGAAGCCTGCAGGATGGTTATTTTTTTCAGTATAACATTATCATACTGGTAAGAAAACCTATATAACATCTGCATATATCAAGAAATTTAAAAAATCTGATATGATTTTAGAGTCCGCATGACCAGTCACGTGACCTGCTCAAGCTTGATTAGCACCATTAAATACATAAACACACATATGTATGTATGTACGTGTAAGTATATGTCTACACACACACATATGTATGTAATAGATCTTTAAAAAAAACTTTTAACCATGAGCTCGCCCAGGATGAGGAGCCTGTTGAACTGATGAGATGATGGATAAGATGGATCAACATTGGTCTATTTTGTCTCTCTTCAGTTTGATTTATTTACTTTTTTTTTTTCCTTTTTTTTTTTTTTTTTGCAGCAGACATATCATTCAGCTTGTGCTCAGTTTCCCTATAAGGGCAAGAAAAAGTTTCCTTCAGGTAGCCACTTGTTTTTATACTGAAAGACTATCTGCTCCAAAATGTTCCCAAGTAGAAATGAAAGGACTCAAAATCCCTTTCTAGAACCCAACAGCTAGCATTCTCTGACTAATCTCCAGGTTCAATGGAACTGGCTACAGAGATCGCATTTCAGGCTAACAATTGGCTTCTTAGTTAAGGCATCACAACTGAAAATGGTTATTTCAACAGATGCTGTGGATGAAGGAATATCAACAAACTTCTAAGAACTCTCATTAAAAATTAAAGCAGTTTGCTTTGCCACAATGGCAAGCAGAAGGAATTCAGCCAATTATCTCACAAACTAAAAAAGGGTTTTCAAATTCTGAATTGTCACTTGTCACAGCAACTATATGTATAAGCTATACCATTTTGATATTCAGTGACATCTCATACTTTTAGACTATTCTGCACCATACTTATATTTATCACTTGATATATTGGTTTCCTTTTTGAAAAAATTACACACACACACACACACACACACACACACACACACACACACACACACACTTACTACCATAAGATGAAGAGTAATCTTTCTCCAGAATCCTGTCATTTTTCCAGGGGATATACATACGGACCTCCTAGTGACATGAGGAAGTTCTCTTTATGCATCCTGGGAAGACTAGCACTGCAAATGAGCTCAGCTCTAACAACTATATCATATCCAAATGCCAACTCCATTTTTACAGGTATAACATAACATCAACATCGTACATGTGTTTCTATCAAAAGTATGTAGTGCAGAAAGAGATTCAAGCTATATTATAGTACTTCTAAAACTCTAGTATTGTCCTGATGGCAAACATCTGAAATTATGGCACATGTGAACTTTTGTTTCACTAGATTACCTTTACCATTTCTTTAAATGGTAGCTAAAATTGTCTCTGGCCAATCATGACTCATTGAAACCTAAAGCTAACAAATTTAAATTAATACATAATAAACAAATGTCTCTTTTTGGTTATTTGCTCAAAATAATTTTTTCAGCTTAAAAAAATACTTAAGTGTAAGGAATTTGTCTAATCTGTTGTTTCACATATAGAACAATATAATTTTACAAGAATATTTCTATAAATTGCCTTTTTTCTAACCCCTCTTAATTCCACTTAATTATATTCATCTCAAAGGCACTAAATTCTGTATCTGCTCTCTTCCCGATACGCGCTGCTTTTCAAAATGATTTCTATAGCATATTTGCAAGGTAGCTTGTACTTTCTTAAAACAGTGTTTTAGTTTGTAAATTGGTTCTATAAAGTGATGAGGCAGTCTCTCTTGTGATAATCAGCACAATAGGCACAAATGATTTCTCACTCTCTGTGACAAGCCCTATCACGGACCTTCAAATGATCTATAGTAAAATTAAAGTTTGCATATTCTGACCATGGGGAAAACATATACTTAAGGAGAAAAGACCCACATACTAAGCTCTCATAGCAAAATGAATTTCAGACGAATTCAAGAATAATACACAAATACCTGAATTTCATATGAATCACTCCCAAACTTAGCTATGAAAAATTATCCTTCTGAGGAAAACTAAAGAAAAACCTAAATAAAATATTTAAAAACTGCAGAATTTCTTCCATCCACAGTCAAAAGAAGGAAGGAAGGGAGAAAGAAAGAACGAACGAACGGAAGAAAAACAGGAATGTAAGACAAGATGGACAGAAAAATAGAAACCTGATTGAGACAGCAAAGTGAAATTCTATATAATATTGTAAGGAAAGAAAATCCCCAAAGTTATGTGTGTGTGTGTGTGTGTGTGTGTACACACACACACACACATATACATACGTGTGTGTGTGTATGTGTGTATATATATAAAATCTCGATGATCTGAAATATTAAAACAGGATCTTCTTAACAAATTTCATTTTCCTACCCGTTACCATGATGATCTTACTTGACGATGTCGAAGATTCACCATGGCAACGGAAACTATCATCATAAGATGGTACAGTAAAAGAGATAGCTAGAATAAGAAGGGGTAGGGTCTCCTGGGAAGAGGTCTGCAGAGAGGCCCAGTGACTGGTTGTGCGGCTCAGTGTCAGGAATAATGGTTGTATGGTGGAAGGGGATGCCCAATGCCATTTTGGAAATGATGATGCTGGCGATGAGCAAGGTATTCAGCATAGCTCAGGGTCATCTTTTCACTACGGTACCTGAAAGAAAATCAGGGAAGAGACAAAGTTAACATCAAGAAATAGGTGACATGCCAGCATCAGAGCTAGGAAGGACCTTAGAGATAATTTTATAGATCGGGAAACAAGGGTCCAGAGAGGAGCAGTGACTTGCCCAATATCACGCACTACTAATAAGTCGCAAAGCTGAGCTCAGCATGCAGGAATCCAGAGTCTGAGTCCAGCACTCTGTCCATGCTACTACTCCTTGCTTAAATTGTTCTAGAAATTTTATTGCCCTCTCAACCCCAGTTTGCTAAAAGGAAGGAAGAGAGCAAAGCCAACGTATTGCCATTATGTAAACATCTCATTTGCTTGACCACTTTTTCTTCTGGGATCTTCCACTGCTCCCTCTTTTACCATTCCTTTCCCTCTGTCCACATATCTACTTAGGTCTTGCCATTAAGTAAAAACAGTTATAACAAAAAGCTTTTCTTAATCCTGTTATCCCAAACCTCTTTTTCCCCATCTCTAGCTTTTCCATTGGCACACTTCTCAAGAGTAATATATTTTCTCCTCTCACACTACTCCTTAGTCCATTGCATCTTGGCTTCTGTTGTCAATCTTCCACAGACACTGTTCTTTCAGAAGCCTACCTCTCCTTCTGCTTGACGTCTCCATTATGGTACTGCTCACCATTCCCTTTTTGAAGCTCTCTTGTGCCATGGGCCATACAACTCCAACTCCCTTGAATCTCTCCCTGCCTCTCACGCTACTCCTTATCTCTCTGACTACTCATTCTACTCCTGCCTTGTAGAATTTTCTTACATTTTTACTTTCAGTTCTTTTGACCTTATGCTCTGTCCCCGCTTGGTGAACCCTATCCTCATAGCTTCAACTATGTCCTCTTTACAGATGATCCCAAATCACGATCTCTGTCCATGAGTTCCACACACGTACATTTTCAGTGATCTGCTAGATATTTCTATATAGACATCCCAGGAAGTACTTCAAATCCAGAATTGATGACTTTAAGAAACATGACTTTCCTTCTGTGATCCCTCCCTTGGTTAAAGAGATCGCCTTGGACCCTTTTATCTAGATTAAAGCCTTATCTTGTTCTTCCCTACTTCTGAATGATGACCATCTTTTCATTTCTTGCACAATATTTTCTTATCTGTTCCCTCCTTTCATCCCAGCTCACTGCCACAGCTCTTGTTAAGGCTCCCATTTCACCCGCTTTGGACTGCTGCCAGATATTCTTATATAACAGCGATGTCTTCTAATGTTCCTGTTTCCAATTCCAATCTTACACCTCCCTAAAACCATCTCCTTAAAACCCTTCTATGGCTATCAATGGCTATTAGGCTATAGAATCAGGCCTAAACTTCTTAGTCTAGAACTCAAGACCCTCATACCTGACCCAATGTACTACTACTGAATATTCTTCAGAACTTGCTCAGTACTTTGATACCTGCACGTACTGACATGCAAAGTTCTCTTTCAGTTAACCCCTTTCTTCCCCCATTCTCCACCTGTCAAATATTCTACCCATTTTTCAAGCCCAGTCTGAAATCTACCTCCTCTTTGAAATTTTCTGTTATTCTCACCCCTTCCTGGAACTCCTCTTCCCCTTTTTTATGATCTCACATCATCCATCGCATTCTGCTTTATATCAATAATCATTTTTGTATATGCCATTCTATTCTCCTAGACTGTGAACTCAGGGAAAGTGGAGATGGAGGCATTTTCAAATATGTAACTCCTCGAAGCTGGGAAGAGTCCATTTTTAGATTATAGGCATCCATTGTGGTTTTACGGAATTAAAATAAATGGAAACCACAACCCATTTTCCTAAATGTTTGATATTTTCCTTTTTAAATAAGGATCCCTCTGATCCCATGCAGAAATTTGTTTAGCATTTGTGAGTCTAGCTCAATTGTATTTTCCGGCAAGCTTTCATGGGAGACTTCTATCACTGCCAAAATCCTAAGGTTAAATTCCAATTTGGGAGCTGCTTATCGGAATCCTAGGGTTCTGCTAAGCAATGTCAAAGGCTAGCCAATAGTTAATTCAGGTAACTTCTTTCAATAATGTAGTCTAAAGGCCCCAAGGGTTTGCTCGTATAAAGCCAGAGTAATCACACACAGCTAAAGATGGGAAGGATGGGCTCATATATCATAAAGGCTTTACTGCCAAGCAGGGTTCCATTGTGTCTACCCTCAGTATGGCCCTGCTATTGATTTCCACTGTTTCAGAAAAGAGAAGCAAGTATAGAGAGACCAAAGAAATCAAAGGATTATAGGCATATGCATCAAAATGTACTGGTTTGCCTCACACTAGAAAATGCCTTCTGTACCTGGTCAGTTTTATGGTTTTCCTGAATTCATTAGTAATTGGAGCTTTGTATCCTCCTTTCCTCAGTAAAGAGTCTATGGTCTGAATATGGTCCCATCCTGTGGAGAGTAGACGAGATAAAACACAGTCAAACACAGGTTAAATATAAAATTACTTTGTAGAGTGGTCAGCTATCAGTTACCAAATGCCATCAACTCCTTTGGTCCTAAAAATCACACAGAAGAGCTAAGATTTCATCCTGTACAGAAGCAGGTTCACCACCACACACCTTCAATTGTAGCTATCCATGATGGCTAACAACAGTGGTTTATCTCAACCATATTTGAAGGCAAGAAGCTGAAGAGGCTGGCAGTAACTGCTTAGTCATGACTTAGTAACAAACCACAAACATTGTACTCTCCTCTAACAGTAACACCTTTAAAAGGGAGAGAAGAGCCTAAATGTTAGCATGCCAACTCAGTAGGATTTAGGACTCTTATACTAACTCATGGTAATTGCTGTTCCTACTGGCATCTTCTGTAGTCAATCAAGTGTATTTATGTGCAATATTCAGGGGCATTTTTATCAGTTCTGACATGGGATGGTATACTAATATCTGAGGCCCTCTATCTCTTAGGTGTGCTCTACGAAGTCAATGGAACCACAGGATTAAGACATTTTCTAAAGTAACCCAAACAAATATTCAGCTAGCTGCCTTAAAGACTAACTCTCTCTCTTGTGGGTTTAATGATATTAAATTTGCTGTTACATATCTTATATTTTTATGAGATAAACATGGGAAAACCAAATTACAAGTGCTTTTTGATGAGAAGTGCTCCATAAAGTAAAAAAGAAATATTCATTTGAACTAACATGAAACCAGAATTTAGTAGTGACTAGAAAGGACAAGATACTACAGAGTGAGAAATTATTCTGTGTTACAGTGGTAGTTCATAAAGGTTTGTGCTTTATCTATAAAATGGAAAAACGTTTGCTGATTGGGAAGTGCAGACCAAGTATATAATATACCACTTCATGCATTCTCAATGCTCCTAACCTTAATGGGAAACCTACAATCATAATAGTAGGAGAATGAGTAATAGCAACCACCTAAGAATGAAATATTTGATACTGACAATGAACTGTGTGGCTGGGCTGTCAAACAAAAGGCTTGTTTATATCACACAAGGCTATAGCCTAATGAGATAAGGGAAAATGGCTCTTCAAATTCATAGCAAACTATTGACTAAAATAAAATCCAACTTTTACAAATATTTGCTTTTTTGAAAGTATACTTTTGTACGTTCTTGCTGTCAAACGTTAGTGCAGAGATTCAACTTCTGTGTAATTCACCAACTTCATACAGACAATGCAGTGGCAGTGATGGAAGAGTCGTTTCTTATAATTTGACACTGATCAATTATCAGACTTAACTGCAAGGTCAGATATTACATTTCAATTATATATTTTTTTAAATTCTTCACCAGATCATATGAAATAAAGTACAATGACCTTGCTCCTTTGCAACCTCCGGTAGGTAGGTGGCGGTGCGTTTTGATCCTTTTTCATTGATGAATTCTATTCTAATGCCATGTACACCCACCTGAAAGAAATTGGCAGTTTTATTAGTACAGTCTTCTTCACAGAAACAGATATAAAAAGTTATAATTTAACTTTCAAGAGAATGCAGTTCTTCCCTTCCCCTTGTTTTTGGAAGGGCATATAAGTTTTCTCTTTCCAAAGCATTGACTTTGGGTTTCAAGGCCATTATGATAGCCAAGGAAACTGAAAACATTGATTTGCCGTCTCAGGTCAACATGTGCTAGGCTATGCTTTTCTGTTTGGGACTGAAACAACCACTCTGGGCTGTGTGTAGAATAAGACAGTCAATGGCAAGTATCCTGCCACCATTCTCAAATTGTGGCTCATGATATTATAGAACTAGACCAAGGGAACTTACTTTAAAGAACCAGCAAACAACTATCCTGTTTTCAGGTACAATCACCAATTCAAATTAAGTTCCACTCCATTCCCAAACTATTTAGTCTCATTATAACCTTGAATTATATGTAGATAAGCAAACACAGATAAAACTGAAAACAACAACAACAACAACCAGATCCTACATCATCACTCATTACAGAGACTATTTCTAAAAAGATGTATAATGGCTTAAAGTAGGCCAGGGGCAAATCCTTACTGTCTATTTGCATCATTGCCCTCACACGCTACTACTAAACTTAGTAATAAAGATATCAAATCACTTTTAGGCATTTTTGTAGTGTCTTATATACTAACCCAGAGACCACTATGACTTTTTTTTATGAGAAACAGACAAACTTTTGGTGATGCCCTACAAAAGATAACCTTCTAAGTAAGTGTGGGTGATTTCTTGCTGTTTTAAGAAAGTAATGTACTTTGTCTCTTATTAGCATCCAATCAAAAGAAATCTGTCCTTTCCCTTAATATCATAACAAAGAATAGTGAATAGAGCCAAAAATCATAAAAAGTGCCTAATTTCTTTGTAAACATGGATAATAAAAACGAAATTTCAAAAGCATAACAACTGCATCCCGTTCTCCCAAATCTATGGTTGCTTTGGATCAGTGGTTTTCAAGTGGAGTGTATGGTTATCCAAGGTACTGGAGAGAAGATGTAAGGCCAGGTAAATCTTTTTACCCAGGAGAGAGGCTTCTTTTCAGAGCAGATGAGTGAAATCATAGACCTTTCCTCTTTCTGTCTGCATGGATGTGAAGGTGTAGAAGAGGAAAAGGGGTCTATAAAAACTTCTTTTGCTGCTTCCACTCTTAGGCTGAAATTTTCCAATTTTCCAGGGAATAAAAAGTCCTCTGGAAAAACCGTTTTGTTCTTTCCCCAGGTCTTCATCCATCCATCCATCCACTAGTCTGTCAGATCTTCTGAGCAGTTTATGTTTTTTTTTTTTTTTATTAAAGCCCATCTCTGTGGCTATTTCTTTATCTATTTAACATCAGTATTCTTATGAATCTCCTTTTGCTGAAAATGCAATCAGGGCAGTTGTTTAAAAACTAACATAATCAGGCCTCCCATGCCCTGTGGGAAATGACTGTGGACAGCTGAGAAGAAATATGAGTGCTTAGCTATCAGCCATTTTCAGGATAAAGGACATCTACTAATCTCCCCAGTGCCTGAGACAGTACTGAGACAATGATAAATTTGTAAGAGTTTCTGTATACTGACTTTCTGATGAGCGACTTTGAGATTTTTCCTTTAACAATATCACGTCCTTCATAATTTGTTTTTAAAAATATTACAGCATAAATAATTTATGTCCCCATCTTTCACTGAAGTGAATTTTGCATCTCCAATTCAATTTATCAAGATCTGTCATGTTTAAATTGAAAAAAAAAAAGAATTGTGGTGCTTAGTAAGGTTTCTAATCAAAATTGTAAGAGGAAGAATGTTTCCCTATCTGCAGGATGGGAGTGTTAGACTAAGTCAGTGGTGTTTAACTGGTATAGAGTGGGGATGAGGGCTATGAAGTTTATCAGAATTTCAGGAGGTTTTGTGCTTCAGCAAGTACAGTTTGAAAAAAGAACTCCCCAGGTGATTTTTTTTCTAGGTTAACTAGATAACTTCTAATTATCAGTTGAGTTCTGACAAACTGTAGCTATGTACTGGGGAAAAAATGATTTAGGCAAATTAGAAGTGATTTAGAAACATAAAACTTTTCTTCATAGGAGTACATTCTGTGCTCTTCAACAAAAATTTCACGGATTTTAAAGCCCAGTAATTTAACAATTAAAAGAGGTTAAGACCAACTGTATGGTATGTGAATAATACCTCAGTAAGGCCAAACTGGAAGGACATGTTGACCCAAATAAAAATTATTCACAAATAAACTGATTTACTCTTGTATTTTGAGAAGGCCCCACCATCAAATTTGATATGAAAAAATACATCTAAGCTCTCCGATTTTGAATTAGAACCACATTTACAATTTTAAATTCTGTGTTCCTGTGATTTTGAATAATTGAAAGCCCCTGTAAATTGAACTGTAAGTATGGTGATTTTAAAGTGAGTCCTTTGTGAGAAATAATTTATTTTATAGGTCAAAAATATATTCCACAAAGATATAAAGCCCAAACCGGAGTGACTCATTTTTTCGACCTAGCGGAATCAGGAGAATGGTAATAATGGTCTAAACAGAATCAAAGCATAATAACATTTTGTCACCTGTTGAGCAACAGCATTTTTCCTTACTCCCCGAGCCTTAGATGCCACCAAACAGTCATACTGCACAATCAGTACAGGAGAGTGGAAAATGGTCTGCTGTGGAGAATGACCGAATCTGGCCAACCTGTGGAAATTATCAGCTTTATAAATTAAGTCATCTCCACTAAAATGAGCACCAAACTAATTCTGTATTTTTTGAGGGAGGCATCTGTCACAACTGCAACTCCAAAATATAATCCTCATGTATAATAACTGAGTTCTCCTTTAGACAGATTAGAGGATCCTTCAGCCCAGCAGCATCCCAAGAGACAAAAACTGTAGTTTCAATTATCAGCTAGATAAGAGATCACCTAACTAGAGAACTGAGATTCCCTGAAGCCACCTTGCTTTAAAACTCTATTGCAGTAACTTTCCATTCCTAAGGATGGATAAGGAGGTAGCATATGGGAAAACTATGTCAACAAACATAACTCTAACTACCATTGCTCAAAGTACAGGCAGGTGGGCAAAAACTAGAGACTTGCAAATCTAGCCTTATGGGAGTCTGCAGGTCATTTTCAAAATTATTAGAAGGTCTGAGAAAAAAAATGCTTTCAAGGTCCATCAGCTGTGATAATATCCTTTTAATCAAGACTGTACTTTTGCTAAGCAAAGCTATAAATCAACTCGAATGGTAGTAAATTAAATGTAGGACTTATAGATAAGAGGATATGGAATTAAACAGTGCTGTTTCTGTGTGTGCTAAGGGAACATTAAGACCAGCTGAATAAATTCCTATTTCATGCTAAAGCAAAAGCCATATTTATTCTGAATCATTCCATAGCAAGTCATTTTTATTAATGCTATTACACAATCTTTTGTTTTTAACATTGTCCAGAATGATTAAATGTCAAGATTAATGTTAGGACCCTAAAGTATATCTTGATTATTCTGGGGTTGATTATTCAGTTTGGGGATTATGCCTCCCCGACTCCACCTGGCCTCAGCCCCATCCTCTTTCCTCTCTTGTCCATTTCTCTATTTGTTCAGTCCTGTATCAGAGAGCATGTGGGCAGAGAGAGAAGAGATACACACAAATTAATCAATTTTGCTACATAATAAAAGGTTTGGAAGAAGAGATTATAAATAATGGCTAAAATGAAGCTTCTAGACTGTCTGCAGATTTCATTTATCCTCGTTATCTGGTCCCTTGTTAGAAATGTGGCTTCATTTAAAACTATTATCCTCTAATGCAGTGACTCTCGACACAGGAGCATTAAAAAACAAAAACAAAAACAAAAAAAAAAACCCCAAAACCTGCCCTCTTCCCACCTTATTATAATGCATGGGTCCATATTATGCTCCTCACAATTGGATAGTCAAAGTTTAATTTACCTTAGTCTGTCTATAAGGCAAGTGTTACTCCTGTAATTCACTGGCAGCACTATGAAAGGGTCTCATTTTTACTTGGGCACCTAATCAGCAAGCCAACAATCAGGATATGCTGAAATATGAAAAAGTCATCTGGCTAAAAGCACCGATGAGTATAAAATGCGCTCTGGCTAAGTCGAGTAGGATCCACACAAGCCTTGGACCATTTGGGTCCACAATTACCTCCGCAGTCCTAAAAAGCTAAATCTGCCCGATTTCATCCTGGCCAAAAAAATCAATTTACTTCCTCAGGTTTGTCCTGTCTTAGCAAATTCCACAGTTAGCGCCACTCTTGCCCATTTTCAGAACCAAATGTTGGGTTTCCCTGTAACAGTATGTCCAGTGTTGTTCAGTGAGTTCGCCTTGGATAAAATAAAAAAAATATCAGGAGGTCAAAGAATCAAAAGTTGTTTGAGATGTCTGTTGATGATATCAATTGGCAAAATATGCTTTGCAATTAACAAAGCATCCAGTCACTGGTCATTCACATAAGGCTGACCTGCCAGGCTCAATATGCCAGTTCCACTGAATTGAATGAAAGGACTCTGTTCCTAATGAGAGGAGCTAAGGATGTTTGACAAACTCCCTAACCTTTCGAGGCTGGCATCATAGAAGACACACATGCTCTCTCTCAAAACAGCCTGTGGTACCATGAACAGAAACAGACACTGTACTGCACAAACCATGGGTCTGACCTGGAGTCTGGCATTTCTTCTATTCTTAGGAGGAAAAAGCCATTTGTGGTTTTTCTCCTAAAAGTACAAAAAACATAATGCAGCACATTCCATTCTTTCACTCATAACCCCATAGTTCCTTCTGCCCCACCCCCAACTTGGCCTTCTAAAGACAGTGACTCTTCCTTTTCCCAATGAAAGCAAATTCAAAATAATGGAAGAAAATACTCCAAACTTGGCTTACTCCAAGTATTATGCTCCTGAATAATTCTTATTTGAGCAAGACAAAACAAGATTTTAATCA